TCGAGCAGGTCACTCAGCCCCTGCCCCACGGGCCGCGCCTGGAATCGGTACACAAGCTGGCCGCGCGCCGCGCCCAGCCCTGCTGGCAGCCCACCTCGGGGCCGGCCTCCAATAAATCCTCCAAGCGCTCCTTGCTGATCCTCTCCGTGTAGATGTCAGCATGTGGGGTCATCACGATATAGGTACACCATCCACCAGTGCCAGGATGAGCCGCTCATGCCCGGGTTCCCCTTCCATGCCGTAGTTGAGGTACGCCACGTCCCCGGGTTTCAACCCCCACAATCTCTGCGTTCGCGACCGGCGCTGCATTTTGGCGATCGATCTGAGGAGGCGCCGGCAACGGAGCAAGCACACACGGAGCCGCTGGTTGCTTGTAGGCGACAGCACAAACGAGCACCAGCCTGAACGTCACATAGGACGAGCAGCACAAAACCTGAGTCGCCAGCACCAGCAGCACACCGAAGGCGAAAGACAAAGTGACGCCTGACACGGCCAAGCCCAGCGGCACGAGAGTGGGCCAGATGCCCTGCGAGCTCAGGCAAGCGTTGGCCGAGGTGGAGAGCGCGACCGCACAAGGGCTCACCCGCAAGGTCTGCTGCAGGGTATCTCTCGCCGAGTCTGCGATCGGAGAGCTGATGAGGGAAACGGGCCAGCCGAAAACTCACATCCGCAGGCTCGAAAACCGCTTGAGCACAAACAGTTGCGGCCAGAAAAGAACATTCAGCATTGCACACTGCCCTGCGTGGCTACAGGAGGAGGCGGAGAAGGAGGAGGAGACAAACAAAGAGAGTGAGTGGGAAGGATGGAGGTCAGGATGCGGAAATGGGAGAAGATAGCGGAGGAAGGGAACTGGAGGAAGAAGATAGAAGGAGGGTGGGGGGCGGGGAGGGAGGAGGAGAAAGAGATGGAGAGGAGGAGGAGGAGGAGGAGGCGAAGGTGCCGAGCGCCCCAGCTCCTGATCCTCAGGTGGCTCGTGTTCAGCGGCCGCCTCCAGGTAGTCGCCCAGATCACGCTTCGCAAGCTCGAGCCGGTCGTTTGCCATCCGAAGCTGGCGCGCGTTCGAATCCAGATCCCAGCACGTCTCCTCCAGGATTGCGTCGCCAAAGGAGGGACACCGCCTCTACAAATTTAGAGGGCTCCTGAATGTGGTCTGGGTAGACGAGGTCGGAGGATCGCGCCGCATCGCCAGCCCACGATGGCCTCGAATATTGCTCAAGATACTTCAAGATGGCTCAAGATAGCCTCCGAGAAACATCCAAAAGGGCTCAACCACAAGACGGTTTCCAGTGCCCTCCGAGCCCTCCAAGCCCCCCCCCAAGATGCCAGAATGGCTCCCAAATCGAAGGCAAATCAATGTGTTTCTGCCTTCTCGTCTTTTCGCTTCCGATGGGCTCTCGTGGCCTCAAGATGGCCCAAAGACCGCGCAAGAGAGAGACCCAAGAGAGGCTCAAGAGGACCCCGACAGGGCCCCAAGAGCGCCCAAGAGCGCTCCAAAAGCGCCCCAAAAAGGGCCCCGAAACGCATTGTCGTTTGGCCTCCGAGCGGGGGGGCTACATTCACCCCACTCTTTTTGAAGCCATGGGGCCCTTTTTTGCTTCCCCTGCGGACTTCCATTCCATTCCATTCCATTCCATTCCATTATACTGAGCCACGGGGCCCAAGATGCCTCCCAGACCCCTCCGACCAGCCCTACGAGGGCCCCCAAACTCCGAAAATGAACCCCAAGAAGGCCCCATGACTCCGAACATGAACCCCGTGAGGTCCCCAAGAGTAACGCAAGAGGCCCCCACAGGGGGCCCTCAGAGAGCCCCTAAGCTCAGCGTGGCCTCCGACAGCATCTAGCCGAACATGGCTCAATACAGCCTCCAAGAGGCCTCAAGAAAACCTCCGATCGTGTGTGGATGGGCTGGTGGGGATATTTTTGTCGCGACCGCAGACGAAGGCGGCGGCGTCACAGGTTGGCTCGGGCTACGAGCAGAACGAATTGTCCAGCGCGCGCAGGCAACTGCAAAACCTACCGCCGGGGGAAGCTGGGCTGCGCCGAGGGTCGAGGCTGCAAGAGCTGCCGGGGGCTGCCAGGTGGCTGCAAGCGCGCGGGCACCCCAGGGACGCGACCACCGAAATGGATGAATTGAACCTTGTCGCATCCAGGCGCCAGAGGTCGACAAGCCACGGAATTGGCGAAGCGCGGGGCTGCATAAACATACCAGCGTGCTTAGCTGCAGACCGAGAGGGAGGAACACACATGGTCGATCGAAAAGGCCGAACCACTCCTGAGTGAACCAGCGGGCCAGAATCCCAACAGGCCAGCGGCAACGGCAGACACAGCCAGGCTGTGGCTGTGACTGGGGACCAGACGCCACGGGAGTGCAAGCACTCGTGCCGGAACTGGTCAGAACGCACGCCACCTGAACGCCAGGATGCTTCACCCGACTCCGCGGAACCAGAATGAGTGCCAAAGGCGCAAGGAACGGAGCGGGGTCGCATACACCGAGGCTGAGGACCTGAGCCCAGGAGCCTGCGACAAGAAAGGGCGGCCAGTGCCACGGAAACCGAGCCAGGCCGTGGCCAGGTCCGAGCAAAGGCCAGGGTGAGAGAGGAGGCCAGATCACCAAGGATACCAAGCCAGGCTGTGGCCGGGACCGAGCGAAGGCCAAGGTGAAAACAGCTACAATCAACGGCCGGGGCCGTGTGGCAAGCTGCGCCCCGCCCCAGCAAGGGGCACCGTGCCGGGTATTGGCGGCGCCGTGGAACCAGATCCCCAAGGGCGGGGGGCAGAGCCAGGCGCGGAATCACGAGGCCCGCTGACGAGGAAGCCGGGCCAGGCAGCGGCCAGGTGCGGGGAAGGCCAGGAGAGGGGGCCAGTTCACCAGGGATACCAAGCCAGGCCGTGGCCGGGCCCGAACGAAGGCCAAAGCGAACACAACTACGGTCAACGGCCAGGGCCGTGTGGCACGCTGCGCCCAACCAAAGGGGCATCGCGCCAGGTCGTCACAAGGCCCGCTGTCGAAGGATGCCAGATCAGGCTGCGGCCAGGCGCGGAGAATGCCAGGGCGAACACAACTACAGCAAACGGCAAGGCCGTGTGACGACACGCTGCGCCCGCCCCAGCAGGGGCATCGTGCCAGGTATTGGCAGCGCCGTGGGGCCTGACCCTCAAGGGCGAAGGGCGAGCCAGGCGCTGTGCTGGTTGGTGGGGGTACTTATTTGATCGCGACCGCGAGCGGGCACCCGCGCAGCGTCTTGAGGTCAAGCGAAGTGCGAAGCCGTGCAAGGGCAAGGCAGCGGAAAAAGAGGCTGGTGGGAAGATTTGTTGGTTCGCGGGCTCGCGAAGCAGGTCGAAAGCCGTCCGAACACTAGCCGGGCCGCGACTAGGCAGCAAGAAGAGAGAGCAAGCGAAGCGAGCGCGCGGGCAGCCATTCAGAAAAAACAAAAAAACACAACTCCCAACTCGGCGGGGTGGAGACCCCGGTGGCGACCATCAAGTAGGCGCAACCAGGATGGCGCGGCGGCGCGACCATGAACACGCAGAGGTCGACCACTCGGTGTGAGTCGGCACAAGGCCCGACAAATACGAGCAGGACCGACAGGCACACCCGGACGACGTCCGTGCCGTAGACGACACAACAGCATCGTGTCAGCGCCAGAGTGAAGAGGGGCAGCCTCGTCACAGACAGGACTGCAAACGGCAGTACCTCTTGTTTCTACAGCAGTGGCACATGTCGAAAGCGAAGTCCATGTAGGAGAAAGCAGCCGACGGGCGCACAGAGCCACACATGCCGAGACCCTTACACCGAAGAGGCGACAGCGTAGCGAGACCCCACTGAACCCAAACGGTCACCAGTGGAGGCCGACACCAGGCAGGAGCAGGCCAAGGGCCACCTGACCGTCCATCCCCAGTGTGATCCTTGCATGGAATTCGTAGCGAGACCTCACGGAACCCTACCGGTCACCAGTGGAGGCCGACACCAGCCAGGAGCAGGTCAGGGGACACCTGACCGCCCGTTCCCAGTGTGAACCTTGCATGGAATTCGGGCTGTCAAAGCACCATCAGACAGCGATGTTGGCGGCAACCCCAGCCGCCCCGGTGAAACGAGGGAGAGGAGGGAAAGTGCACGCCAGGCACGGTAGGCACCCCGTTGTGACAGCTAACCGCTGCGGCATCAGGATGCAGGAGGGGAGGAAAGGAAGTGCACGCCAGGCACACACGCGGAAGGAGAGAAGGGGAGAAGAAAAGAGACACGAGCATCGGAACCCCACTGAACCCTTTCGGCCATGAGCAGGGGGGGGAGCGCCGGCCTAAGGCAGCCGGTGGGCACCTCACCACCCACACCAGGTGCAAGACATAGCAAGAACAAAGCTGGCGGAGCACCATCCGTCAGCGGTATTGGCGGCAACCTCAGCCGCGAGGCAAAGCCCCAGTAAAACAGGAGAGGGGAAGTCAGCGAACCGCTGACGCTAAAGGAGAAGAAGGAGGAGAGCTCACCATAACCCTGTACACTGACGCGCACGCCAGGCGCTCTGCGGCGTCTTGAGGTCAAGCGAAGTGCGAAGCCGTGCAAATGCAAGGCAGCAGAAAAAGTGGTTGGTGGGGATACTTTTTAGTCAGCGGCCGCGGGCGAGCTCGCCGGCGGCGAGTCAAGTCAAAACAGGCTACGCAGAGACTAATTGAGCAAAGGCGGCGCGAACAGGCTACGACTAACGCAGCAAGCCGAGGCCTCACGCGGCGGCCCAGCGGCGGGTGGGTGGCAAAAGTGACTGAAACCGAATCGAACTGCCAGCGTGCAAGTATGCAGGGCGCCGGAAGCACCAGGAAGTCGGGATAAGACGACCAGGGTCAACTCTGTAAATTAAAGCATGAGTCCGAACCCCGGGCAACTGCGTGGGCACCAGGGTGGCCGCAGCCAGAGAACGGCTGGTCGAGGTGGAATTGAGAAATGCAAAGGCGAGGCCCTGGACGTCGGCGTTAGCGCGAGAACCAGCGTGGCCCGAAGGACCGACGGCCAAAGAATTAACGCCAGGAAGCGAACGCGCTGGCAGGCTGCAACTCCCAGGGTGGCTGCGGCCGAGACCCCGAGGCAGCAGAACACACGAGTGCGGAAAGCGGCGGAGCCGCGACGCAGCCAAGATGGCGCGGGTCACCACGAACCAGTGCGTGAGGTGGCGTCAGGTTGACCCAACACGAACACGAACTGGGCAACGAGCACAGGGCTGACACACCAAGTGACGACGGGCGGAAGGCACCACGGGCAAGCCCAGGCCGGAGTCCAGGGAGCCAACCGCACGTGCCGAGAGGGCACTGGACAGAGCGATGCCAGGACGGCCGCCAGCCCAGAAGAGAAGAACCACGAATTGAGCGGCAAGGCCGAAGGCCGGAGCGGTGGAGGGACGGCACCACCACCCGACGAGGAAGCCACGGGAAAAACCGCGAGTTGCGCGGCATGGCATGCTTTTTTTTTTTGGGGGGGGGGCTACGGGCCACGGGTCCAGCGCCGCCCGATGAAGCCTGAACGCGACCTCACGCTGCTTGGCGCGGCCAGCCGGCGTGGTGCAGCCCCCCCCTCTCCCTTGGGGGCTGCCAGAGGCGTCCCTGGCGTATTCGCTCCAGGCTGCGCTGCAGCGGAACACTGGGTCCAATATAAATGCAAAACTCATGCTGCCCATGGCTGGTGCGGCCTATGATGCAACAGGCCAGATCTGGCAATCCAGGCGCTTGATATAATAGCTGCGTATCTGCCTCGTCTGCAGACTTTTCCATCATATGTACATCGAAAACAGATGCCAACTGAAATTCTGAGCTGGGAAATAAGGATCGCGCCTGGATCGACAAACTGTCACGAACCGGCACGGAATCAAAGAGACATAATGAAACCGCGAACCCACCAAATCCCACCAGCCCTCGCGCAGCGTCAGCAATTTAGAGGACTCCTGAATGGGGTCCGGGTTGAGCGGGTCGGAGGATCGCGCCGCATCGTCAATGCACCGCTGATGCATCGGCGATGAATCGGCGACGTCAGCATGGAGAAAATCGGGCCCCACATCGAGCCGCATCGCCGATGTATCACCGATGCGACGTTTTCCCCCTACACCGTCTATTTCGACCCTATCTGAGAGGCGTAGAAGACTGTGCTTCTTGGAGGCTGGAGTTGCAGGTGCGGTGCCACTTTCTAGAGCCCGTGCGGCAAGGGAGGTGCTACCAGGGTCTGGCTCCCAGTGGGCGTCGGGTCCGAAGGGGCTAGGGGCTAAGCTTTTTGACCGATTCTGGCTGAATGTGGGTCTCATGGAGGCCTTCGGAAGGCCTCTGGATGCCTCTGGGGCCTCCTGGGGACCTCCAAGGCCTCCAGTACCTCCAGGGATCTCTGGGCCTGCAGCCCACGGGATCCGAATACCAGCACGTCTGCTTCAGGATCGATGTTTTGAAAGAGCCTGTGGCCGATCTGGGCCTCGGAAGGCCCCGACCGGAGACGATTGGTCGCCGACGTTGCTGAAGCATCGCCGATACATCGCCGATGCATCGGCGATGCGGCTCGATCCTCCAACCACGTCTGCTCGGACCCCATTCAGGAGGCCTGGATGCGCGTGGCCCCTAGGCAAGAGGTGACCTTGGGGTGCGCGGCTATCCGATCGTTGCGCGCGGTGCGACAATAGCGGCATGCGTTCTCGGGTTTGGGCCGCCGGGCAAAGGGTCACTGAAAAGTTTGGCTGCTTTGGGGCCTCGGGAGGCCTCTGGGGGCCTCCGAGGCTTCCACGGGGCGCCACATCCTCAAGGAGGGAGGCCTCCAGGACCCCCAAACCGCGCCAGGTCGTTCCAAACTGTCGCAAAAGCCCCAAAACGCATTCACTCCCTGATCCTCGGTCCTCGGAGATTCGGCGGGGCACGGCGAAGCAAAACCACGCGCAGTCTCTGCACGCTCTCCCGCGGCATCGTCATCCTCCTCCTGCTCCTCCTCTTCCTCCTCCTCCTCCTTTTCCTCCTCTTCCTCCTCCTCCTCCTCCTCCTCCTCATCTCTCCTCCTCTCTCCTCCCTCCTCCGCCTCCACCTCCTCCTCCTCTCCCTCCTCTCCTCCTCCTCATCCTCCTCCTCCTCCTCCTCCTCCTCCTCCTCCTCCTCCACCTCCGACGCGCCATGGGCCCAGGCTGTGGCGACAGCAAGTATATCCAGGGCTCCATATACAGATCCGTGGTTGGCACGCGTGGACCCCGCTCTCTGAAATCCCGGAGGCTCCAGCTTATGTGAGCCCAGATGGCCTCCAAGCGCTGTCGCCAGCATGGTGACGAGCGGTCGGAAATGAATTTGCAAATCGCTTCGCAAAAAAGGGGGCGTTCACATCAGCGCAGCCGTCGCAAGCAGAGACGCCTCCTGAAGGACGAGTCTGCATCGCTGCGGCGATATTTTGAAATATGTGGTGCAAGCCCTACTGTTGTTTCTCTGGCTGGTGCCAAGACGAACGCTGAGGTCCACTCTTGATGGTGGCTTGCGCAAGCCAGGCTTCATCACAGGCATCGGTGCCGCAAGATAGAGTTTACCTTCAGCTCCGGCACCTGACGCCCCTCCCCCACCGCCGCCGCCAGCGGAGGCGACAACTACAGCTGTCCCTGTAAGAGGTCACGAGTGGGCATGGAAACACTCACATTGGGCATGCCAGCGTTGCCTCCAGTTTGTGGGAGGGGAGCGTAAATGGTCGGTAACGGTATGTTTAAGTCGTGGTTATAATGTCGCCTTCAGCGATCTCGTACATAATCCCCGCAAACACTTCCTTCACATCTCCAACGATTCGTTGGAAGTCGATTGCATAGGCAATAGCTGTGGCGCGTACGTATCCCGAAACGGGGGCGCTCAGGAGGTTAGGCAAATAATGCCTCACACAGTTCCCGCCCAACGGGGCGAAGCATTCATGGGGCCGTTTCACTCGAGAGGGCAGCGCCCGACCGCAAAAGTAGGCGCTGCAATTTGCCTGGAAAAATGTGTATATATATATACACATATATGTATATATATATATATATATATATATATATATATATATATATATGTGTGTATGCCTATCCCCGCTCTGTCCTGATGCATGGCCCCTCCCATGGAAACAACATCGGAACATCCATCATCATTTCGCTGCCATCGACTAATCGATACAATTAGACGCGCGAGCGTGAGTAGTGGTAATCACCAGCCCCAAAATTTGCGCACCGATTCCACGACTCAGAAACTGGTGCTTCAGCCCCACGGGCCGCCTTGGCGGACAAATCCTGCCCCCCCACCCCAAGCACGAAATACCCCTACCCCCCCCTTTGGCCTGCTTATGTTGCCCCGAATTGTACACACAGCCGTTGCAGGCGCGGCAGCCCATCTGGCCTACATAGGTGGCCCAAGAGAGGAGAAAGTCGGCCACAGCCGTTCCAGGCTCGGCGTCACGGGCCACCGTGCCCTACAGGGTGGTGAAACCAGGTAGCTGGGCCCACCAACGGGGTTGAGGCGCCGCAATGCCATACCACCTCAAATCCTCCTCCTCCTTCCTCTTCCTCTTCCGCCTCCCCTCTTCCTCCTCCTCCTCCTCCTCCTCCTCTTTCTCCTCCTCTGCATCCTCCTCATCCCCCTCCTCCTCCTCCTGCTAATCCTCCCCATCTTCCTCCACTTCCTCCCTGTCCATCTGCACATAGGATCCTGGCAGATCCGCCCTTCGTCCAATGGACATTTTCGAGTATGGCTAGGTCTTAATTCTATTGGTTACCTCCTGGCTCCTCGTAGTGCGAAACCTGTGACTCAAGGTCTTGGATCTTCGGCAGCAGATTGTCATAATGGCCTCGCATGCCCTTGGAGACAGCATTCTCGATATCGAACCGATCCTTCCCATCGGAGATCATGTCGAGCACCGTTTTGAGGAGCTCCTCCAGGCTTTTGTCGCCCTTGTCTAGAATCATGTCCAGAAGCTGCCTCCAGGTCCCGCCGCCGAGCGTCCGGATCCTCGCCTGGATCGCCTTGCACTCCCTGCTGAGATCCGCCTGGGCCGCCTTGAGGGCCCTGCCGAAGAGCTCCAGGGTCCACTCCTCCAGGTAGCTCTCGGATAAATAGAAATGCACGGGGCCCACCTCTTGAGAGCGCACGGGGGAAGGGGGGGGGGTCAGGCAGAGGCGGGCTGGGCCGCACTACCGCCCGAGGTATGTGCGAGGACGGGGCAGGGCCAGGGGTCCTTAGTAAAGCAAAAAAGACTACTAAGGGCTCCTTGCTGAAGGAGCGGGCCCTCGGTGACACGAAATGACACGAAACGCTATGCATCTTCGGTTTGTTCTTTTTCTGAGCAGGGGAAGCAGCGAAACACTGTGTATGTGTTTTTCCTTGTGCGGGGTCTTTAGCGTTGGAAGCTCAAGTGTTCACCGCGGTCTCTCCCCAGCACCCCTCTCTGAGCATCTAGATCCAGAAAAGCCGAACAAACAAACACATACACAGTGTTTCGCTGCTTCCCAGACCCCCCCCCCCCGAAAAACAAAAACGAACAACACATACACAGCGCCTGGCACCGAGGGCGCCAGACACTGAATGGTGTGTGTTTTCTGGCCTTGGAGGCTTAGAGCAGGGTGCTGAGGGGACCGCGGTGAGCCCTTGAGCTTCCAGCACCGAGAACACATACACAGTGCCTCGCTGCTTCCCAGACCCCAAGAGACATGCACAGCGTTGCGTGTCACCGAGGGACCCCTCCTTCAGTAAGGAGCCCTCAGTACTCATCGTTCTCGAATAAGGATTCCGTTAGTAAAGACCCCTTCGCCAGGATGCCTTTAGTATGGGATACACAGTAGGGGGCGTCCTCTACCAAGGGATATTGGTCAAGGTTGCCTTGTGAAAAGGAACTTCTAGCCCTCTTATCAAGGAATCAGTCGTGAAGACCGCTTGCAAAAAGAATACGTAGGAAGGATCCCTGCAGTAAGCCCTTCGCAAGCCAGGATCACAAGCTAAGGAATTGGTTGTGAAGCCACCAAAGTAGATGAGCGAAGCGATGATGCAGCTCCGTGAAGCGACCGACCGATGATGTTGCTTCGTACTTTGAACGTTTGGGGGGATCGCTTAGGCGGGGGGGGGGGGAACGAGCACACACACACACACGCACACACACATACTCATATATATATAGGTATATATACATATATATGTGTGTATGCATGTACATAACCATATGTATATATGGGAATGAATATATATGTATAAATCCACGCGCGCTTCGCGCGCGTTCAGGTTCTAGCGAAGTCAATAGCGCTGTGGAGACGAGGTTCGGGATTTGCGGACGACTCGCTGTCAGAGCAAGGTTGCCGTCGCCTGGGGCAAGTTATGGGATGTGGTAGGGCTTGCTTATAGACTGGCCTTAGAGCTGTTTAGGCCGTCTTTCGGGGGGCCGTCCAAATTTGCCGTACCGTAGTCACAGCACGTAAGCCGTGTCTTGCGAGCTCGTCGGGGAGATTGCTGAGCAGCCGTTGGGCATTGACTGGCTGTCCGACGAAATGTCGAGTCCGCAGTGAGGTGACCTTTGGATATCGCCACATGTTCGTGGAGTGGCTTTGGCGCTGGCTTGGGAAAGTGGGAGTTGCAGCACATGCGTGAGCACTGGCTTCATATGTATTCATCACTGGGGCTACTCGTGGGGAGGCGTGGGGACAAATTGAGCACGGGGACAAATGCGGAGAGGTGGGCAACAGCATGGACAAATGGAAAGGGGATTGATGGAAAGCATTGCGATTGGGTGGGAAGGAGCACGAAGAGAGGAGCTGAGTGGAGTTGACTGTAGTTGGCTGGAGTGTGAATGACATTGATTTTGAAGAGGAGTGGAAAGAAGGGATGAATTGAGAGCGGGATAGAGACGAAAAGAGTGCAACCGACTGCGGATGAGATGGAAGGGATGGGTGGGAGGACCGGGAAGGAGTGAGCAGGGGTGGGGAGGGGTGGGGAGGAGTGGGGACGAATGGAGTGGACTGTGTAGGAATGGAGTGGAGTGGTGTGGACTGGAGTGGATTAGAGTAAGGTAGAATAAAATGGAGTGGGGTGGAGTGGGGCGTAGCGGAGTAACGTCAAATAGAACGGAGTGGAGTGGAGCGGAGTAGCGTGAAATGGGGTGGAGTGAAGTGGAGTGGGGAGGAGGTGAGGAGTCCAGAGAAGTGGGGAGGAGTGAAGTTGGGTGGAATGGGGCGGGGAAGAGTGTGGAGGAGTGTGGACGAAGAAAACAAACGTGCTAAAACTAATACAATTATCTGGGCGAGGGCCCAACCCAATACAGTTGTGAGTTCCGCGCTGTGGGTACTGGTTTCGGTGGAGCTCCCAGTGGGGCCACGAAACGTATGGGTTTAGGTGTGTGTGTGTGCGTGTGTTAGCCAGCGGGGGGGCCAAACATTGCTTCCAGCCATCTATGTTGTGCCATCTATGTGCAGAAATATGTGTATGTGTTCTACGGGTTGCAAGGGCTGGGATGCAACATATAGGTATACAGACCTTTATATACATGTCTATATACACATAGTTGTATGAAAATGTATATATATATATATACATAGATATATATTGGTGCACTATATGTGGTGTAGTCACCGTGGTGCAATTCACATTGTACAATCTACGAGGTGCAATTGACTTTTTACTTACAAGCGGGCTGACAATTCCCATGCCCTTGTAAACGCCCCACCCACCCACCCGCAATTTGGTTTGCAAAACTCCTGCGGCGGCGATTGCGATGAGTGCTTGGCGTTGGCTGTTGCATCTCCGCGGCCGCGCTAGCCCGCGCACGCTCGCACGCACACCGGCCAGCTAGTTTGGCACGACCGACGCGGCCGCGGTGGCGCTGACCGCTGGGCACCTCCGAACGGGCACTTCCATGCGAGTCGGTGACTTGGGCGGGTGCGGTTTCGTGGCGACGCCGGCAACGGCAGACATGGTTGTGAGAGTAGCGATGATGGTGGCGTGCCGATGACGACGGCAAGGCCAATGACGGCGCCGGTGTTGACCAGGCCCGCCGATAACGATGACGATGTCCTCGCGACGGCGATGAAGGGTTTTGAAGGGGTTCGACATGCGCGCGCGGCCGACGCGCGCGAGTGTCCCGCGTGGCATTATTTGGCACGGATCGTTCCCCCCACCCTCCGCCCGCCAGCACGCGCGCAAGGGCAATCGTATGACTTCGACATGCGGTACGAGAGGCCATTTGGCAGAATGTGATGGCAGTGTCGGAAAACCAATGGTGGTCTGAAGACTTCGCGAGACCGCGAACGCAGGGTATTTTTTGAAAACTGATGTTGCAAAACCAGGTGCTGTTACCAACCATCCGGTGGTGTTGAGCCCTCGTTTTGAAGAGACGGTCCCCGCGTTCACTCCTCCTGCTCCTCTTCCTCCCGCTGCCCCCTCCCTCCTCCTCGCATCATCATCATCATCATCGTCGTCATCATCACCATAATCAGATCGTCTTCATCATCGACAACATCATCATCGCCATCATCATCATCATCATCATCATCATCAGCAGCATCAACATCATCATCATCAGCAGCATCAGCATCATCAAGATGATCATCAGCATGCTCAACATCATCAGTATCGGCATCATCATAATCATTATCAGCATCGGCATCATCATCATCATCATCAGCAGCACCATCACCATCATCATCATTCTCATCGCCAGCATCATCGCCGTTATCGCCATGTCGGCATACCACTCACACGTTTCGTGGCCCCATAAGGGGCTCCACATAATGCCCCAGTGCCACCGTCCACGTGCGTCCCCCGGGCGGCCCGCGCGGCACCATTTGACAAGGATCGCGCTCGCCCCCCCCAGCACGCGCGCAAAGGTGTTCGAGTGAATCCAACATGCGGGCCGAGGGGTCCGTCTGGCAGAATGTGATGGAAGCGTTGAGGCACCCATGGCTTCCTTAAGAGCCTGCAAGACCGCGAACGCATGCTTTTTCGACACCTTACGCTGCTAAACCATTATATATAAACTTCGTGGGAGGACATTCGTTTTTTGAAACTCGTGCGAAACCTATGGATGTTGAAGGATTTTGGCTCGCGCGCGCGACGGGGCGCGCGCGCGCGCGTGCTCGTCGCCCCCTTCGCAGCAAGGGATTATTGCGACAGCGCGCGCGCAAGAGCGTTCGAGTCATTTCGACATGCGTGCATGAGAGGCCCGTGTGGTAGCGAGTTCTGAACAATATTGAAGAACCGATGGGTGTCTTCAGATTTACCAAGAGCACGGGCGCAGCCTTTCTTTCACAACTGATGCTTACATATGATTTCCAGGCGCTCGATTCTGACGTCCTTACAATACCTCGGGAGTTCGATGGATTTCGGCATGCGCGCCGGACGGCGCGCGCACGCTTCGCCCCATCTGTTGCACGGAGCTTTGAAAGCTCATGGTTTTGATAAGATAAGCGACAGCGCGATCGTAATAAAATTTAGAAGGCTGAAGGTGGGAGGCAAACTCCGGCCTGGCTGGGACGGTATGAATTTCATAAGAAAAACGAGCAAGGAGCCATACTCATATGTAAGTTGTGATTCGCGAGGCCAGCCCGATGAGTCCGGAAGGGGGCGATGTAGGTAGATTATGTTCCCTTAAGAAAGATGAGAATCTACGTGGTGCAATTGGTTTTCCAAACGAGTTGACACATCCCATGCCCTTGCTAATATCCAACCCACCCACCCGCAACCTGGTTTGCAAAACCCATGCGGCGGCAATAGCGATGAGTGCTTGGAGTTGGCTGGTGCATCTCTGCGGCCGCGCTGGCCCGCGCACGCTCGCGCGCACAGCGACCAGCAAGCTTGGTGCGACTGGCGCGGCCGCGGTGACGCTAACCGCTAAGCACTTCCCAACGAACACGTCAATACGAGTCTGTGATTTGATCGGGCGCGGTGACACGGCGACGCCGACAACGGTAGCCACGATTCTGGGAGTAGCAATGATGGTGACGATGGTGGCGGTTATGACGGCAAAGCCAATGACGGCGCCGATGCTGATCACGCCCGCAGACAACGATGGCGATGTCCTCACGTCGGCGATGAAGGTGTTTGGAGGAGCCTGACATGCGCGCGCGGCCGACGCGCGCGAGTGGCCCGCGTGGCATTGTTTAACACGGGTTCCCCCCCCCAAGCACGCGTGCAAGGGCGGCGCCCGAATAAGTCTGACATGCGGCGCGAGGGCCCGCTTGGCTGAATTGGATGAAAGTGTTGAAGTACCTATGGTTCTGTTCTGAAGAATCGGCAACGCTGCGACCGCAAGTTTTTTTGTTTTCAGAACTGATGTTGCAAACCCATTCGTTGTTTTTTATTACATGTGTGGAAGGACGATCGTTTTTGAAATCCTTGCGGAACCTATGGTTTTTGAAAGATTTTGGCATGCGAGCGTGTCAGCGCGCGCGTGTGCACGTTGTCCCATGTTTTGCAAAGGGGCTATTGCGAAAGCACGCGCGCAGGGCCGCCCGAACGATTTCGACATGCGCGCGCGAGAGGCCCGCGTGGTAGCAAATTTTGAAATTGTTGAAGAAACCAATGGTTTTCTTAATGATTCGCAAAAGCGCGTGCGCAGGATTTGTTTGAAACCCTTTTGTTGCGGAGCAGTATGAGTTTCATAGTTTTCTGGGGCGCTCGAGTTTGAATTCCTTACGGGACCTAGGAAGTTTCATGCGCGCGCGACGACGCGCGCGTGCGCACTTCGTCTCATATGTTTTGCTGAAAGGGTTCTTAAGCATTCATGATTTTGCGAAACGAGTGCGCACGCATATAATGTTTTGGCAAAGGATGAGGGGGCGAACTCCGGTTTGCCCAGAATGGTACGAATTCGCATTTAGGATGGACAATGGGGCATAATCGTATGTAAATTACCATACGAAAAAGTGTCCCGCTAACCCTTGGAAGGGGGGGTAACTCCGAATATGATTCTGGAAAGGGGAATATCTGACGGCAGCGGCGGCAACATAGCTGTCAGACCAGCGCGCAGGCCCACACGATGGACGGCGATGAGGCGAAACCCGGGTGGCGACGGCGGCAACATAGCTGCCAAACCGGCCCGCAGGCCCAGCTCCGTAGATCAGAAATAAAACCCCCCTGGTGCAAGCACTGTGTGGGCCATTGAGATACATACATATATATAGGTTTGTATATATATATATATAGACATGCTCATATGTACATGTATGTACATAGAGAGAGAGAGAGACAGAGAGCGAACGGGAAAGAGAGAGAGATATAGAGAAACAACAAAGTGTGTGTGTGAGAGAGAGGAAAGATCAAACGAGAGAGAGAGAGAGAAACAAAAAAAATAAAAAAAGAGAGAGAGAGAGACAGGAAGAAATACATAAAGAAAAAAGACGACGGGGGGGCCATGAATTCTTGGAGACGCCGTGGAACCAGCCATGACACCCACGCACCCGTAGCCCCCCCTCTCTGAGAAGGGGCAAGTTGATGCGGGACGGGCTCAAGGGGGAAACATCGACTGGGCGGGGCGGGCCATCGGGCAACGATCGGCGATCCAATGGGCGATTCGGGATCGATGTCCCCCCCTCTGAGCATGTACACCCCCTACTGTTGCCCCTTAGCTTTGGAGACATGACTCGGTTCTCCAGTGGTCGTTCGGGACGATCTGAGCACCCCGAAAACGCTCACGGCGAGGCGCAGCCGCAGCCCCAAGACTGGAAAACAGGCGGGAACTCACGAGAACGTCAGAAAACCTTCAACCTGGAAGCCTAAACACCTGCCTGAGCCTATCCCCTGAGGACATACCCCCTGGCATTGCCCCTGACATTTCGCCGCAGACCGGACCTCCTCTTCGGCTGGCGCGGTGACATCGGACGCGGACTGCTGGCGAGCCGTGACCCGGGGAGGGCTCTTCGGGCTCGCGCTCGGGCTCGGGCGGCTCTTCGGGCTCGCGCTCGGGCTCATTCGGGTCTTCGGGCTCGCGAACGGACTCGCTTCCTGACCTCAAGAGCGAAGACGAGACAACCACAACCGCCAGCCAAGAAGACCGAGCGCCCCTGGCGCACGCCCGAGGCCGCCCCTCGACCACCCCAGCGGTCATGACCTGCGCGCGGCGCCCGATTTCGAATGCCACGCGCAGGTCATCACCGCTGGGGGGCCGAGGTCGGCCTGAAAAGGAAGGCGCCAGGGGGTGCTCCCTCGGCCCAGCGGTTGTGAATCTCTCTTCGTCACCGATGGCGACCCACGCGATGCACGGGCCAGGTGGCAGACTCGCCCAAATCCACGGAGCTATTCCGGGACTCGGAGACCAAGCTGGACATGTGGAACCGCGCTGTCTGGGGCAGATCTGGCTGCGCCGTGTCTCTCCGGGCCGCATGCTGGTTGGCGCCGTGCAGCCTCTCAAGGTGCTGCCGGAGGCGGTACAGGCTGACGAGGTTGTTGGTGCGGATGTTCGACAGGTTCTCATGGAGGGCCTTGTTGCGCGCGTGGCGCGTTGCCATGGTATCGCTCAGCAAATTGACGAGGTTCGCGCTCACCAGGAACCGCGCATCCCAGATCCACTTGCCCCCCTTGGGGTCACAGTACGCCTGCCTGCGCTTGATGTCGCCCAGCACTGGGTCGACGTAGGTGATCTCCAGCCGAGCTACGTTGCCGAACTCCTTTTGGCATGTTGGAAAAGAATCCTGGTGGAAACGGGTCCTGGACCCGTGGTTCTCCTGACTCCGACGGCCCTAGGGCCCAGGGGAGGGCCCCACGGCCGAGTCCGAAGAGGGCGCCGAACCTCTGGGACCCCTCTCCTCCAGGCACCCCCTGTCTTCCCTGGCCCCATCCAGAAGCCTTGCATCCCAGAAAGGATGGCACCGAAGGATTGCAAAAAAAACAAGGATTGCAAAAACGAAGGATTGCAAAAAAACCCAACGAGGGTTTTTTTGCAATCATTTTTTGCAATCCAGGGTTTTTTTTGCAATCCGTGTTTTTTGCAATCCTTCGTTAGGGCGCCTCTGTTGCATACGCATATGTTGCTTCCAACATCCGTTGCTTCCGCCAGCCCCTCCGCCTGCGGAGCTGCTCCCATTCCTGCATCCGCCGCCCCCCGGACGGTCGGGAGGGAGAAGGAGCATCAGGGACACGCTGCCGTGGACAGTGGAGCACCAGGAACAGGAACATACGATAGACGGATCGCCCCCCTCTCTCCGACCTTGCACGGCGCCGAACGCAACGGCCGCCTCGTCCGTAGGCGCATCCACCCCGAACGGGTCTATACACGCAACGACACCAGATGTGCCAGAAACGCTCGCGGCTCGAAAGTGATGACGGTAAGTGGCATAGGGCCCCAAATATTGACCTGCTAGGCATGTTACTCGGTCGTTCTCGTCCGACGGCCTGGTGCTTCTGACGCGCTGATGGGTTCCTCACTGCTACTGCGTGTGCGCCCCGAATCAAAGGCGAGAGGCCGATCCTACCGACCTCTCGATGCGGAAGCGTTTCTATGGAACGCCCCTCTTGGGGATCCTCGGCCCCCTTGTTCTCCTTCGTCACCAGCACCTCGGGCCCCAGCGCCTCCTGAGAAGACGCCAACTATGCACCTACTACACCACCCCAATCCCATGATCGGTGTATATGCCCTCCTGGCTTCGGCAGGGAAACCTACGGTCGGGAATGGTTGCTCAGCGTGTCGCGGCCCCGCGGGGCGGAAGGGTGAGAGAAGGTGCGGGACGTTGACGCGAAAGCCTGGGGATGCGGACGTGGTTAGCGTGTCGTGCCGAAACGTGGTGGGCCAAAACCATCGGCGCGACACACGAACCAACAGTTTCCGACCTTATACACCGGTCCTGACCCTGAACAAGCCAGACAAGGATCGGTGCAAGTGCCTGGTCGACGCGGACGCTGGTCTCCGATTCCGTGCTGAAGTGGAGGAGGAGGAGGAGGAAGAGGAGGAGGAGGAGGAGGACACGAAAGCCAGGACTTTTCTTCAGCAGGACACGAAACCCAGGAGGAGCAGGAGGTGGAGGAGCAGGAGGAGGAGGAGGAGGAGGAGGAGGAAGAGGAGGAGTACGAGCGGCCTGCGAGGCGGCCAGTCGGTGCCGTCGCGCCTTGAAACGGGCCGCCCACCGCGTCGTGCCCGCAGCGGGCGGGAGGGGCCTCCCATCAAGCCATCCCCATTTACGCATGTCAACGCCGAGTTCCGAGGGGATGGCGCGAAGAGCTCGGAGCACCATCGCATCATCAGCACGGCGACGGAAGTCCTATGATATATGTGGCCTTCTCCCCATGGGGCTGGTCGCCCTTTTTAACTGGCCTCCCCGACGCCACGCGGTTCCGCCGAAGGCGTGCGCTGCGTCGATTGCGCAGAAGGCTCCATGGTTCCATGGCTTCCCCATGGGGGGTCGCCCCGGGCGACTCGACGAACGGGGCCACGCCCTTCGCTGATGATCCGAGGAACGGGACCACACCAGTCGCAATAGAGCCTGCTTCTTGTGGCTCGAGGGGCGGGGCGACACCGGCCGCATTCGCATCTGCTGCTGTTGGCCCAAGGAGCGGGACCACATCAGCCTGCGTAGTTATCTGCTTCTGGTGGTCCGAAGAGCGGCGCGGGCCATGCCATAGCACGCATCCTCATCTGGTGACCCGAAGAGCGGGACCACACCATCCGTAGTAGAGTCTTTTTCAGGTAACCCGCGGAGCGGGGCCACACTAGACGTAGCCGTGCTAGAAGAGCGGAGCAGCGCCCGCAGGGAGGCGGCGCGGGCCCTCCTCCCCGGCAGTGCGCCGGGCCGGAAAATATATCAGCGTAGCATGGGGCAAAATGATCCGTGATGTGAAACATACTGGGACATTGCAGGCGGACAAGATAGCACAAGCCAGCCTGGGCGTGCCACGGGGTGCGGCCCGACCCTCCTAAGGAGGGGGGGGCAATACCCACGGGCACGCCCGCGCCACCCTGAATTCTCTTCGGGGTGCCCACCAAGGAGGAAGAGGAGGGACAAGGCGAGAGCAAATAATCGATCGCACCAGCGTTTGTCCTATGCTCCTACGCATCGTCGTGCGTGCACTCGAAGCCACGGCGCCCACTTCGTCAGACGTGCGCCCCATCGTTCATCTTGCACTGTAGAATGATTGACGGCAGCCGACCACTTGCTTTGCCAAAGGATGTCTGTCCAGTCCTGGACCCCGTGTCTCCTTGCGAGTGACTCGCACGCGCCCCCTGCCCTGCGTGCGCATTCCACCCATTGCTCGTCTGGCTGGCGCCCCACACCGACCATGTGTCGCAGCATCTTCCTCTGCGTTGCGCGAAGGCGCCTCCCCTGCTCGACTGTCAAAGTCCAAGCAGAACAGCCGTGCATTGCGCAGGGCGCAACGGCGGCGTGGAAGAGCCTCATGCGATCACGACGGGGCGTGCGTGGATTGCATCGGATACTCTTCTGGCTGCAAAAAGATGCCCATGCAGACGACATGCGGCTGTTCAGCTCCACCCTGCGGTAGTCGTCCAAGGTGAACTTGCGGCCGAGGTATTTATCCGCATCTCCTGGTTGTAACGCTCGCACGCCGGTGATAACGCATCGGATGTTTGCTGGCCTCGTTGCTGACTAGGTTACCACCGCGGCTTTGTCCATGTGCAGTTTCAGGTAATACTTCTTCGTTTCGGTCTCAAGGTCCACGATGATGCGGCCCACGTCTCTCTGATAAGAAGACTGCATGGGCACGTCGTCGGCCAACCTCACGTTGCCCACGGTGTGTTCGCAGCGCCCTCGACAAGGGTGCCACCGAATTCACCTGTGCGCCTGGCGCTGATGCTGCCCCACCTCTTCTTGAGAGACCGGAAGATCCGCTCGCTGACAACCAGAAAGAGACATGAACTGGCCGGTTCGCCTTGCTCGGCGCCCCGGGATATGCTGAACGCGCGGCCTCGCACTCCAGCAGCCACAGAAGACGATTGTACTGCATACAGCCTTCTCAGTATGTCAATGTACGCTGGCAAGACATCATGACTCTCTAGCGCTTACCAAAGAGCGTAGTATTCTACCGCGTCGAAAGCCCTCTCGAAGTCCAACATGCCAACCCACAGCTCAACAATGCAGGTGGCCTCATGAAGGAACGCTGCGCAAATCAGGTGGTCCAGGGTGCTGTACCCTGGGCGACATGCCGCCTGGTCAACGGATTGCTCCCGGATCACATCCTTCCGCAGTCTGCTGCAAACTGGTGCGCTGAACAACTTAGGATCGCGGTGCGCCTGTAGCTTGACGGGAGCGAGACGTCCCCCTTCTTGTAGATGGCCCTGATTCTGGCTGATAACCAGTCCGCCGGCATGTCAGCAGGATGGCTGAGCAGCTGGTTGAAAGATTCAAGGCTGAATTCTCGCAAGATCGAGGAGTCTACCTTGGAGAACTCTGCTCGCGTGCCTTGATCGTCCGCCGCCTTGCCTCCCTTTATATCCCGAATTACAACGGCGAGCTCCTCCTGCGTGAACGGGGAAATCAAGTTGTCAGGTTGCTTGCCGTAGACGTGCTCTCTGCCGCCTTGTCTGGTGCTCGCCTAGAGGGTCTCGAAGGAGGTCGCGAACACCTCGGCGATGTCTACGCGCTCGTACCAGCTGCGGGCGATCCGTGCTAGCCGCGGGTGGCCCGAGGAGTGGGACCACGCCGGCTTGCGCGCATCTGTTGCTGGTGACCCGCGGAACGGGACCACGCCCCCGCGCGCGTCTGCTTCTGGTGACCCGCGGAGCGGGGCGGCATCAAACTCGGTGGCAGCCCCTGCCGTTGGCGCTCTTACTCCGTGGATTGGTTCGCCCACGACCTGGTGGGGCACGGGGCGCCTCCCCTCCCTCGCGCGGTTGAACCTCGTCTTCGCGCGTTCTTGTGTTCGGCTTTCACTGGCACAGTTGGGCCAGCAGCATGGTCGAACCTTCAGTGCTCCTCGCCCCACATGCGTTGTAGAAGATCGCCGCGCTCGCCGCCATCACCTTGTGGTTCAGGTGGGGTGATTTAACATGACGCGGTCGCCCTCTGAGTGGCCCAGTCGCCAGATCGCCCTCGCCATCCCTTTCGTGGCCGGCATCGTCTAGCATGAACAGTTGTGGACGATTGTTTCGCTTCCCCTTTCGCTGCCGCCAGGCGTCGCGCGCCCGTTATCATCGCTGCCCGCCGCTCTCTTAGCTGCCGCCTTCGCTTCGGTCATGATGGCCTTCTTGCATGGCCGTGCGCTATGACACGCCCCAAGAGTTTTCGTCCGACACCTTGCGCCACCTTGCGAACGTTGATCCCACTTTGCGAGCTGACTGATTGCTTCTGCGCATTCGTCCTCGCTCGCCTCGCTCATTTCGCCACTCTTGTTCTGATGTGGCCCCTTCGCCTTCGCAGGACCTGGCCTGCCGCTGATGACCGCCGTCGCAAAGCCCGTCGCTGCAGTCGAGATCGCGGCTCCGCATGACCCTGCTAGCGCGCCCCCGCTGAGCCCGCTTCCTCCTCGCCCACGACGCTGGCCTGCGCCTGGCCCCCGGTGTTCGAGTAGCTCTCGAGATCGCCGCTTGAACTCGCGAAGCTATTGCCTGTGGACCCGAGGTAGGCCTGCCGCAAGTCCTCCACCGCTTGGCCGGTCACCCCTCAGAGACGCCCCTTCCCCCCCGGCGCTGCATGCGCCCGCTGCCCCCTGCAGCACTCGCCCAGGAAGTCGTCGAAGCGCGAGACGGGGTTGGACGCGGCGAAGTGAATTGTCAAGCCCCTGTGCTGCGTTAGCAAAACTCCGCGCAAGTAGCCACATGCCAGCCCATCAACTTCTCCACGTCCGCGCACTCTTTGCCCCGTCGCGTCGTCCAGCCGCAGAATCGCCCACGCGTGTACTCACTCTCTCATAGTGTGCGCCTGGTCGTTCTGGGCGAGCCCGTGATCCGCATGGGCACGAGGCGCCCCCCCCCAATGGAGTTGGGCTCGTCGATGGCGCCGCCACCCAAGCGCCCATGGCATCCCGCCCTAACATCGGCCACCAAATTCGCCTCGGGCACTGTAACTCTTGGTCGCTTGGCGGCTCGGCGGCCATGGAGCCCCTCGCGCCTGTTTACATTGCCCTGCATCTGCTTGCCTGCGTTCTCCCTCGGCTCGCCGTTGGCCACCGCGCTCGCTTGGCCGATCCCACCAGCCACCCCCTAGACCGTCTCGACCTGCCGCAAGTGCCTCGCCGCCTCGTGCGGCCAGCTGTTTGGGCGGCACTGGGCTCCGAGCTTCGCCTCCTTGTCGGCCGCCTGCCTGCCCAGGACTAGCCTCCTTTCGATGGTGCCGCGCCCCGTCCTGCTGATCGCCCGGCGCGCTCATCTTCGCTAACACGATGCCGTCCTCGCCCACGTCCGTGACCAGCCCTCAGAGTCGCCTCCATTGCCCCGAGTAGGCGTTGGCAAGGGAGAAGCCGCACTTCGGTCCAGCATCGGCATCGCCCAGCAGGTACTGATCGGCGCAGTATATCTGGCGGCAACATGCGATGGGGCATACTTTCGACAGCGACAGATTCGCCCCCGCCGACCTCCTGCACGCACCCTGAGGATGGGCCGTGGCACGCCCCCCTAACCCGTCCAA